GGTTCAGGGATGCTGGTTGAGGTTTTAAGGTTTAGGGCTTGGGTTTGGGGTCTAGGGGTTGGAGTTTAGGGTAAGGGTTTAGGGTTTAGGGTTTAGGGTTTAGGTTAGGGTTTAGGGTTTAGGGCATGAGCCTACATAGCCCGTTTAATCCCCAGTTACCATAGGAGCAGGTCTGCAAGTTGTGTAATGTATTGGGTGTTGACGGCAAAGGGAGTTCCAACAACAAGTAGCTACAATTCTAGGGAGGATTATATGGCTTTGTTATCAAGAGGGATACTGGGAGTGTAGACTTTGTCTCAATGCTTTTGTAATATGCCTGCCCTAATTCATCATCATGGTAGCTGGCACTCCTCAATTACGCACAGGGGCTAGTACACTTCATATTCTGCAGGTTTGGGTGAAACAGCGCTGCGCTCGCAAGCAAACAGAAGAAGTGTTCTGAGGCCAGACGAACCAACTTTTTCAAGACCTTCGTCGGCAATATCCCGATCTGGTAGAGGTTTGGTATGCGCAGGCCGGGCATGCTGCGCAAAGCCGATTTGGGTGATATGCCCTCCCCCAACATACGAGGTCTCATATTGAGAATTTGTAGTTGGAGTTTTGGGAGGGTTGTTCATGTTAGGAGGAACAGGTCGAGGTTTTTGCGGGGGAAATTGCTGAAGCGTTTGACAGGACATTTTCCCAGAGATTCTACCGCAGAGAACGAGCTGGGGAACTTGCGAGGGCGAGCCCTGTCGGACGCTTATTGTGGCTGGGACGTCTTGGCTCAGGCTAGTTTTTTCCAACTTTATGAGGTGGCTGGCTGGCTGAAGGGCCTTCGCATCACTCATCTCAGATTCAGTCTCCAGCTTTTTCCCGGTACAGGCTGTGAAATACCAGGGCAGCGTGGCCACATCTAAATGGTGGCTTCCATAAGCATGGGCCCCCAATGCCACAACGTAGACAATATACCATACTTCTTACTTGAAGGACCCTCAAAAAGGGACCCCTGACTTTGGGAGACCCCCAAATCTTGCCAAGGTGCGCATCGCCAACAAGCGACTGCTTACGGACTCCGTGCCAGAGGTCTTCTTCAGTGGAGCCCTACATGGAGACGAAAGGCAAGCATAGGGAGCATTGCTATCTGAGGTAGAGGCTTGGGGTCAGCAACTCTCACAAACTTGGCAAAAAGTCCTGAAGGATTGGGCCCGCAACAGTGAACGAGCTGGCCAAATTCCTTTGCGAGCAGTATGCTGCGAACCATTCGGAGGCACTGTGGTGCTTGCCACTTCATTCCCTCATGTCACAGACAGCTTTGATTGCCGGAAAGTGGAGATATCCGGGGCATGTGTTGAGACGGCTGATGCCGGTGCGCCCACAAGCCAGAAGTGTTAAGTGCGCAGGACTTAGCAACATGTACTAAAATGTTACTGTAGTTGGATACATAATGTTTTCAGAGACTTGGAAGATCCTCACCGCCGCCAGCTGAAAGAATAAATGTGTCTTTTGTCTGGTTCTTGGTCTGGAGTGTGTCTCTTTACGCGAGGATTACACTATTTGAGATGGGACCTTTGAGTGGGATTGTCACGACTCCGCTCAGCGGGAGGCACATCACTTTCGGAATCCTCTGGGAGAGGCAGCGATCAAGTACCAAACTGTAAGAGTTCCCTTGCCACTCGGGTGCACGTGCGTACCTCCGATGTTCGGATACTATGCAGCGATATGAAGCAGGAATGCACGTACATGGTAGGCGCAAGCAGAGTGCTGGCTGGCAAGGGCTGAAGATGAATCCAGCAAGCAGTTGTCTACGCAACTCTTGTTCTTGGAGTAGCGCTGTTCAGTGACAGGTTGTTCGACTGGTCGATGGCCGAGCCACGTCACGCAGTTGCAAGCTGTGGATGGAACGCTGATGTTTGCAAGGCTTCCAATAGACGTGTGCGCGCTTTGCCTTCTCAGGTGGCTCATGCCAATGACAAATGCGCATGGTTACGCGAATTACAGACGGGAGGAGAACAGTATGGATCCGAATCGGGACTTCCCCTACTTACAAAGGTCAGATAGGTGCATGCAGACGCAGACAGCTCGGGCTGTCAACGATTCTGGGCTTCATTGATTCATGGCCCGTGCTGCTAAACTGTTGTGATATGTTGTGATACATCGAGGGCACACCGGTTAAGTGTCTCGATAGCACAGAGTTCAGGAACTCTTTCGTCGACATCTCTTCCAGCCTCCCAGATGAAGACATGAACTTGGGAGCCATCACATCCTAGTTGCTCATAGCTGTCAGCCTTCAGCCAAGCAATGTCAGGTTCAGCATCACCTTCCATGGCGGCATGCGGGCCCTCACCTATGAGTGGGGTTCACGAAACCACCTCGCGAGGATGAAATCCACAGAGTCCCCGGACGAGGCTGCCTTTACTCAGGCGCTCAGAAGCTGAGAAAGTCAAAGATACGCTGAATGTGAGGATATTTGCCATCATCTGCCTAGTTACAAGTCTAAAACGGATGACACTATTTTCTGGCCAACACTCGTCGCATGCCTTGTTACATAGGGTATGTCGCAGATAGTTGTGTTCTGCGACAACCCCCAAGCCAAACATGAGCTCTTATACACAAGCCGTAAAACAAGACACATGTACTTCAAGGGGTGTGTGACAGAAGATTTGGGGCGCGAAATGCGGCAACATGGGCTTTCAGCACACCCATATATGCAGCAGGTGCGCATGCGCCAACATGCCTGCCACATCAAATTACGCACTTCTGCATGGCATGTATGTATGTGGCTGCGAGAACGACTGCTCATCAGCCAGCTTCTCAGGTAGATCCCCGGGTCCCAAGGGACCCCAGAGGGTTGGGGTTCGCGGTTAAAGTTTATAGTCCCCCTTAAGTAGATAGAATGTGGGGTATATGGGGATCTTATTGTAATATACCCAAAGCTATATTCTATATACTCAAGGGGGACTATACCCTAGACAAGCACGTTGCGCAGGTCGGTCAGTCAATCCAAGCTGCTGCTGGAAAAACGGCTAGAAGCAGATGGTTCTACCCGCTGGGCCGCATCAACGACCTGGCATCTCAACCAATATATCAACCCCTTGCATGCTCCATGGTCTTTCCATGTGATTCTCCAAGTGACGTTGTATGACGTCAAACCCTAAAGCCCCAAACGCCAAATAAGCTAGTAGTTTCCATTGTCTTTTGCGTTCCTCTATGTAACCCCTTTGCGACACTACCCCTATAGGGTTGTCTGGGTTGCTGTTAAGGAACTTAGAGTAAGGTACTAGAATAAGGCTAGTATTTACTATATACCCATATTATGGTAAGTTAAACCTAATCCCTTTTTAATATCGCATATACCCATATAATGGTAACTTAACTTGAGTTCCTTAACAGCAACCCAGTTGTTTTCATGGCTCTAAACCAGTCCGAGCGCTGCACGCCTGCGGCCCAAAGGGGCACATGTTCTATGCACGCAGCGGTGTAACCGTACCGTGCCTGGTTTTTGCTCACGTCGTCATCTCGTTGCATTCGATTCACAACGTCCGTGTTCTTATTGCATTCGATTCACAGAGCATCCATGCCGAAACCACAACAACGTCCGTGTTCTCATTGCATTTGATTCAGAGAGCATCCATGCCCAAACCATGATAACGTCAGTGGTCTCATTGCATTCGATTCGCAGAGCATCCATGCCCAAACCACAATAACGTCCGTGTTTTCATTGCACTCGATTAACAGAGCATCCATGCCCAAACCATAATAATGTCCGTGTTCTCATTGCATTCG